TTCAGCGGCGTTATCAAATGGGGGAGATAGGGTTCTCCCTACCAGGGTGTGGAGTTTTGGATAATTCTAAGTTAAAATGGTACCAAAATTACTCTCAGACAGGTCACAGTTGAAAACTGTGGCCACATGTGATCCCTGATCAATCAGAATTTTATGGTTGGCAGAGAATCTGCTCCCCAGGGTAAGGGGGCGCATGGCATGAGGGTGCTTCCCTTTTGTTTAAAAAAATCCCTGATATTTTATAATCAAAATAACTTTAAAAATAAAAAAAATCATGATCAAGTCACAATAGTTTAGTTCATGCCTTCAGAAGTTCTTTAAAGCCACATATCATATTTATTTTTATCTTGAATACATCTCTCCCCAGCAGTCACCAAGGAGACAAAACTTGATTTTTGGAATTTCATTGTGACTTGGTTTTGTTAGAAGTCACACTGACCTACACTATTATTTCTTTACAGCTATCACAGAATATTGTAAACTGATTTTTTTTCACAAGAAAAAATTTTTTGTGTGTCAGACACCAAAAAAGTATGACTTTAAATTCTTCAAGTGCTAAAATTTTTTTCCGCAAAAAATTTGCTTTTATAATTGTTTTGCATAATTTTCGTCAAAATGGACATGATTCATAATTGTCTACAAGTCATGCTCAATATTTTGAAAAAAATGATTGTTTTATTTTATTAATTTAAAAAAAGAAGAAAAATTTACTTTGATGTTGAAAGGTCAACTAAATGTTAGATTATTTTACACGAAATTGATAACATAAAATAAATTAAACAGTTTGCAGTATAGCATTAATCACTAAATGTACATGTAGCCTGTACATACATGTACATGTATATATTATGTCACGCCGTATTGGCAAGATATGACTATATTTTCTAAAACAAGTATCAATTATTTCAACATATTCTTTGTAATATTCGGGATGAGACATATTTAGACAGATCACTCTGCATGGCTTAGATAAGTGACAGAAAGCTAATCTAGCTTATGGCCAGCTTAAAACTAGTTATGCTTAGTCTGTACTGTTTGTTGCTGCTTATTCAAATGTCAAGCTACTAGTAGAGTATTAGGCGAAAACAAATATTCTGGTCAATTAAATTTGTTTACTAAAATCAACACGTGCAGGTTGTCTTGTTTTTTAATTTGTCATTACATGTACATTTATAATTTTTCATGAAGACTGATTTTTTCTAAAATTCTGGGAAAAAAATGTGATGCGCATGTTTTTAACTGTCACCTATGATATAAACATGAATATTTTGGGGCCATAGATGTATTTGGATTTCATTAATGGTTTACATTCTCTGTTTCCACAATTAATAAATACATACCTGTTTCATGGCTTGATAAAAATTCTGTTCTTCTGAGCTACTGTTGTGTTTTAGTTCTGTGCAATAATCACCACAATGACATTATTATTGGAGAAACATGTGTGATTGTTGGTTGAATTTATTTACAAATGTATATTAAAATCTACACTTAATAAACATTGTCAAAAAAATGTTGTTTAAGATCCATTTAGGATGTGTTGTAAATAATATAAGGTTATTGGGAGAATAATATAAGTATACAGTGTATGTAGTAAGTGTATTGATTAAAGTAAAGTGGAGGTAAATGCAATTATGGCGTTTTTCTAAAAAATCGAGGCATTATCTCCACAGTGCTTGAAAGGCTGTGAGGGGAGACAAGATATTATTTTTTGTATGTGTCACTAGATTGTTTACAATTTACAACCATGTATAGTTTAGGTCATGTACCAGCATTCTTGGTTAAATGTAAATTTTTTATTTAATTTAGCTGACTTATGATTATTACTTGCACATGTTAGGATTTCATGTTACTTACACTCATAGACCAAATAAATGAATAACGTGCATCTCAAATAGAAACCAAAAATTGCATTTATTGTATTCAGAATCATTAAAATATGATTTATTTTGATCATAGACACTCTTGTGTAATTTATCTAAGAACATGTGCTACTAATAGAGCCAATACAGTCTGAAAGCATTCAAAATAATTAGGATGATTAGAGGCATACTAGTACATCATCTTTTGTAGCTTCTGATTATTACTGTAAAATCTGTATTAAAAGCTGCGGCTACTATTAAAATGAGGGCTTGCGGCTTCTACAAGCATCGACACATATGAGAAATGGTGAATTTTTGGTTCTCAATTGTTCAAAAGGAATGCAGCTTCTAATACAGATTTTACGATGACAACATTGTTGATCTATAATCTTAAATATGGGATTCTTTTTCAAATAAAATTTTCTCAAGACATGAATAATTAGTTCAGCATGCAACTGGAAACAGGAAGTGAATGCCCTCAAGTGGCCACTTTAAAGCTCAGCCATAAAACATTCCAGGCTTGTCGAACAAAATGTAGAATTGGGTTACTGGAAACATACTGACTTTTTTTACCTTTTAGCTTTGGTGATGTCATTATTCAATAGATAACCATCAAACCTTGACCTATTTATAATTTCTTAGTGGTGGTCCCTTTATATTATCGGTATTGTCATTCATTTACCTAATGATGTTAATCTAGCTTGTTCTACTTTTGTTGACATGTGACTTCATGTCTAATTTACTCATCATTTAGTTATTAATATTGTGCGCCATCCACAATGTAGGTCTTTTCTGGTGCTTAAAATTTTCTGGTTCTCTGCCAATACACTGTAGAATGCCTTGGTTTTTGAGAGAAACCATTTAATGTATCAACAATTACTTTGTTATCATGGCTAATACTATCTTGCAGGCATTGCTATTTTTACTGCATGACATTTAAAGGTCTGATACTTAGAAACGATGTCTTGTATATTGTAAAATACTTTATTTTCGCTTGGAATTTATTTTCGCTATTTTCGCTGAAGGAATGATTCAGTGAAAATAAAATCCAGCGAATATACCTTTTACCCTATATTTTACATTCAACTCGTTGAAAATCAGTGAAAATAAATTCCATATAAAACACACAAAAAGTTTTTTCAGCGAAAATTAATTCTAGCTAAAATAAAGGATTTTACAGTACTCAGTTTGCAAGAGGCAATTTTTGAGACAATGCATCCAGCAACAAAAGAGGCAACTCTGTGACAATAACTGTTACACATGGCAACTAATTGTGGTGACAAGCTGGCGGGCGACTAGTTGTCTGAACTATTTTTTTTTTTTTTTTTTTCTTCAGGCGATGTTGCCTGATACATCATGGCAATGTGATTTCTGTGTTTGCTCTTTTAGTAGCGCATACAAATATCTTAATTACTGAGGAGTTTCTAGAGTCAAAATAAATAATGTTTTAATTATTCTGTATAAAACAAATGCGATTTTGAGTTCACCTGTACATGTGCTTTGATTGGGGTACACTTCTAATAGAGCAAATATGGTATATCAGTAAACACATTGATTAAAATTCAGTATATTTTGTCGTTGAATTCAAATATTCAAAACACAGCAAAAACAAACATTGATAAATTTGTAATGTATTATGTAATCTGAAAACTGGTCTTGAATCAAAACAAAAATTTCAAAAATATTGTTTCTCTGAAAAAAAGGAAAAATCTTTCTTGAAAATGTTATTTTGTATAAAACAAATTGTACATGTCATACACTGTACATATGTATTTATATATCACATGAATCTAATGCAGTGTTCTCATCAGATATGAGACACAATAGATTTGCCTCAAGGTTTATTTTCTTAAAGGTTATCTACAAAATGAAAGAAAATACAAGTGGCAATTTATGAATGTATAATGAGAGGTGAATTAGTTTTCATTTTTACTAATTCATCTTTAATCTTTTCACCACCAGACCAAATTTTTCAGCATTTTTTTTTCATGTTCTTTAATATTTTTGGAAATGAACCCTAATTTTGGAGCCAACAGACAAAATTAGAGTCAATTTTCAGTTTTTACTTAAAAAGTTTGGCTATTTTTGTCCTAATCTTGTAAAGAAAAGTGCAGAATATAAACAGAACTATTTTGTGAATTTGTGATGAAAAGTAGGAACTGGTGGTGAAACAGTTAAACAATTCAGGATGTACTTTCCGCTAAGAAGGGTACAACATACTTTATGTCTCTGTCTTATGTTTCACATGGATAGGTAATAGCCTCATACATGTACTTTTTTAAACTGATGAAGCAATTCCACCCCTCGTATTTATTTTCTGTTGAGAACACAGCTGATGAATTTGTCATAAGGGTTGATCTTTCGAAATTGGGAGGGGATTGAAAAAAATGACCTGCTCCAAGGAAATGTTAGAAACAAAATTCTGCAGTGAAAATTATATAAAAAAAAAAAAACTACCCTACACTTATTTAATAGACCATTTTCCGTACACTGCGAGAATCACGCGTTATGCGTGAAATCGAACGTAAAAACAGGACAAACAAAGGTCATAGCGTCGTAGTGGCATCAAACATCGCGTGGGATTCGACAAACGCGAAAGTATTTTGGGGACATTTCCATGCTTAATAATGTGCTGTCCACATTTGATGATAGGCAATTTCGATTAAGTAAGGGTATTCGGAAGCAATATTCCTCTGTCGAAGATCGGCCGGTTGGTGTGAGCTACGAAATAAGGAAATTCGAGTTCAAAATCAAATCGTTCTATTTTTGCGGCAGACGTTCGACGCGCGTCTTTCATGCATCTCGCGAGATCTCGCAATTGTACGGAAAATCCCCTATTGAAAAAATCCAAAAACAATGTTTTATTGCATTATTTTCTGTAATAAAATATATAAATTGTTTTTCTTCCATAAATCTACTTGTAGTTTCTAATGGTATTACTCCTTACAAGAAATTTGTAATGAAATTATTGTACTTGAACTTGTTGCATTGATTAATTGTTACCATGGTAACTGAATAATCCAAGGTTATGATATTGAAAAGATTATAAGATATATACTTGATATTTTTGTGTGTAAAGTGTTGCCATATTGAGTTTTATTTAATCATTTTAATGATGTTGTGTTTTTTTCTTTGTTACAGATTAGTGGAGCGTTTTTTAATGGATGGATAGTATCCTTTTAATTAAAGAACCTGATTGTGTTTGTTATAAATCTCTCACTAATTCATTTACTGCTTGGAACTACTTGGCAGTTGGTTGTTAATATCACAGTAATTTACAAATATAGCATTTACTCTAGTAGGGGCTCATCTCCAATAGAAAAACACATACACCAAAAATTGTATTTTTTTTTATTGTATGCTTAACCATATTAACTTGTTTTGATCTGTCTTTCATGGAAGCATATGCACTACTGAAGAATTGCCCCCCCCCCCTATGGTCTTGTTTCTCATCCAAGGGAACATTGACAAATGAATCAGTGATGCAGTAATTTGTTGTTATATTAAGATTATTCATAACCACGAGAAGAAGATATATATGTTCAACAATTATTATTAAATACTAGTAGTGCTTTTGAATAAAATCATTAAAGGTTTATTTGAATCCACAGAACATCTTCTAAAACAAAAACATTTCCCCATTCCACCGTTGTAGTGCACATCACCAATATGCAAAGTTCCAAAAAACAAAAAAAGCATGTGAGGTGCAGATTTCAAACAACATACATGGTGATGAGAAGCCTGATAGCAAATATGATAGTCAAAAGTAAAATGATGCTTAGCATAGTGCTAGTATGAGACTACTATTGTATACTGTTTTCCTTGATGATTTTCTTCAGCCAACCACAACAGTTATCAACATATGCACTGACGTTATTCCGATATAATACAACAGTTAATAGTAAAGAAGTAGTTGTAGGTGAGTATCAATGCTAACACACACTACTGCAGTATTTACTACATACTAAAATATGTTTGGACATTTAGTAACAAATTCTCACTTCCGGTCCGATTAGGCTTAAAATATACCACAAATATTAACATTTGAGATATAATTGTTGATATGTGTGGGTACTTGTTATGAAACAAAAACACTTATTAAATATAACAACCGTGTACTGACTCCAGACAATTTCCTACTAAAAGAACCAGCTCAAGTAAATAAAGAAACAGTGAATGGTTTTTCAAAGTGAAAACTTAACCAACAAAAATAGATCAAACTGTAATGAAAATACTGATAAAATAATTTTGAACGCAAAAGTCAAGGAAATAAATAAGACATGTGACATTGGACATTTACAATGGCAACAAACACTCCACAGGGAAAAAATAAAGAACATCAGATACCTAAAGGAATTAAAAACATCTAATAAATAAGGGTACAGACATTGACAATATTGAACTGTGTGAACAAGATTTATATTTAGATTAGGAAACACCAGTTGAAAAGAGAATATGACCTTCATGTACTGATAACAGAGGAAATTGATGATGAATTCCATTTAATGTCAAGTCCAAAGACAATTTCTAGTTGAGGATATGACTAAATAATTTCAATAGCTTGTTAGTTTACATTTCAATTTATCTCTATAATGAGTTTTTGCAGTACATTGATCAATACAACACAAATGATTAAACATTGCTTTAAAACATTGCCTGTTGAAAGCCTTCACTGTACACAGAAAACCAAATTGCATGGTAAAAGAAAGGACCTCAGTAGACGATGTGTTCAAGTAATACAGCAACACCTCATAGAAGGAGTATAACTATAGAAATATTGTAATGTATTTTCATATGTTTATAAATTGCTGAATCTTGTAAATTTTAAACTTTGTAATTTGTTTCTGTTGTGCAATGTTTTTTATTGTTTTGTAGTAAAATAATGATTTTACTGAATGTACTTTCTAAAAGTCAGTTTTGTGTCACTAAAAATAAATATCCGTCAATGCTAACTATGGTAGTATGTATCACGTAATTCGAATGCATGCATTTATGGTCCAGTTTATGGATTCTATATTGGTTGAAACTCTTCACGCATTGTTAGGCTATAGAATCAGGAAATAGAAACCCACTACTTTACGCTCTAAAGGGTGTACACATTTGCATAAATGAACTTCCCCTCAAACATTTTGCAATTTGCATAACTCTCTAAAATCTGGATTGGAATCTTTGGCTTCTATTAAAATGAGACAGTGCAAAAGAGGAAATGCGGCTTCAAATAGAGCATATACTCATATGAGAAATATTTGGTTATCTATTGTTCAAAATTGGTTATTGTTGGCTGTAGTATTGATAGATAATGCTCACTGGTAACTATGATTTGTATTTCTTGTTAGATTTTTGGGATACAGCCGGACAGGAAAGATTTAGTAGCATGCATCCATCATATTATCATCAAGCACATTGTTGTATACTTGTAAGTATTTTATATTTGTTGAGTTTTTATCTGTCTTTTATTATCACATGCAATTTAATGATAACATATACTGATGGCCGAAATAACAGTGGATTTTATGATAATTGCCTGTCTTTGTTAACCTGACTTGTACTGTACTGAAAACCTGTACTTGACCGACTTTGTGCCCATGCTCAACTAAGTACTTCTCAGTTTTTGGGGATTTTCCTATTTTTGTTTAAGTTTAACTTATCCCCCACCCCTTTCAAAATGCACTTCGTCATTGAACATCATTTTACTTTTCTGAATAATTACAGTGTTCATTGTGACTGTTGTAAATAGGGTGTAAAAGATCATCGCAACAGATCGTAATTTAACATCGGTAATTCACGTCCACATTACATTATAAAAAATGCAGTCAGTACAACACAGGTCAGGTCAGGTCAGAGGATGTTGTTGTCAGACAAGTATGTAGGAAAACATCATGTCAAAAATTGTTTTTCATCAAAAGTATTAAGATAAGGATGAAGATCTTATTTTTCCACACACCCTTATATTTGTTTTACATTGTAAATTATGATGGTACATTATTAATATTGCAATAAAATGTGCACATATTTTGTGAACATTTGTATTTCCTCATTGTCAAAGTGTTAATAGATCTATGTGGAAATTATAACACAACTCACTTCATGAAACAAGAATTAACGTAATATTCCCCCCTAAACTGTGATTATGACATACATTGTCCAAATAAGGAAAAAGTGTATAATACTTTCAAACACACCCATTTCACATGCGGCTAAAGTTTGAGGTTTTTCCTGCCAGATATATTTCTTATTTAACTTGACTCGATCATTATTTCCTCCTTCTTTTCCATTCCAGGTATTTGACATAACTAGAAAAATTACGTATAAAAATCTTCCAAACTGGTTTAAAGAATTACGAGAATACAGACCCTCCATTCCGTGTATATGCGCAGCAAATAAAATTGACGTGGATTACAATGTTACAAAGAAAGCTTTCAATTTTGCCAAGAAACACAATATGCCCTTCTATTTTGTATCAGCTTCAGATGGTACTAATGTAGTAAAGGTAAGGTATCAGCTTTCTATTTGCATATTGGGTCAAAATAATTATTAATATTATGTGGTAATTTATCAAAGCAAAGACACTGGAGAATACAGGGACAAGAATGAAATTACGACAAACATTAGAGGGACAAGAAAGTTCCATGTGAAGTCTTGCATGCAATAAGTCCCAACTCATTTGTCGTCATAGGAAGCACTGTCCCAGCACAACCCTGTGTCATTATGACGCCTTATAAGCAGACTTTGGTTAAAATAGCTGCCTTTTTACACTAGTGTTTATACACAGAACTTGATACTTTCAATATCTAAGCTGCTTTTTAATCACATATTTTAGTGAAATATTGTTCAGTGAGTGAAATATTAATGTTATATATAATTCAATCTTTGGAACAGAAGAAACTTACACTTAATAACGATAATAAAATTTGTGTTTGAAGTTTGAAATTTCTCGCATCTACAAATAATTTTGTCATGAATCTTGTCAACCATTTACAACACCAGTATTTTGATAAGATGGTTACATACATTACACACAATCACATTTTCACTGTAAGTACTTGGCCTAATGTAAACCTGATTATCTATTCTACTTTCAGTTATTTAGAAATGCAATTAAATTAGCTACAGAATATAAAGAAAACTCAACAGATTTTATGGATGAAGTTATGAGAGAGTTAGATGTAAGTCCAGTCTACTATTTTATATCTGAAGGTTCTTCGTTTTGTATAATTGTGTGTGATCAATGGATGGATGGGATGGGATGGATGGGATATGATGGGATGAGATGGGATATGATGGATGGGATGGGATGGAATGGGATATGATGGGATGAGATGGGATATGATGGGATGGGGTAGGATGGATGGGATATGATATGATGGGATGGGATATTATGGGATGGGGTGGGATATGATGGAATGGGATATGATGGGATGGGATATGATGGGATGGGATATGATGGGATGAGATGAGTGGATACTGTAAACAGATACAATTTGACTGCTATTTATTTTTTACGAAAACCAACTAATGAAAATTACTGACCAGACACAGTGTTCTAGATGACAGTCATTTTAACTTCACTCTTATTATAGTGTAATAATAAAAAAACATAGCTTTGATTTTACAGCATAATTTGCTTACACAGGTAAAATTAACCTTGCCTAAAGTCCACACAATTCCCAAATTCATAAAAATTAGTTATTCACCAAATTATAGCAGTTTACAATAATTTTCTATATATGCTGGTTCATAGATTTATTTTATCAGGAAAATATTATATGCAATATTTGTGTTTTTTACAGAATTTTGATGAACTAAATTTATCATCAGACAGTGGTCTAGACACAGCACCAAACTCAGAGGAAAAAGATGAAAAAGAAGCATAGGAGATCTGTCCATTTTTATCAACTTAAGTGGTACATTATTTTTTACACAATATTTTCAGGTCAAACCAACAACTATGCTTGTAATTGAATATTTGTACCAAATATGTTTATCTATATTCTCTTGTTTGTTATCTACTGTCTTTTAGTTCTAAGGGTCCCATATGATAAATGATATATATTTTTTTTTCTTGTCAGCTGTGTCTATTTATTAACTGCACCATCTACTTTTTGTAGCATTTTTACCAAGGGCTTATATAATCTTTCACAACAACATACTTTGTATTAATTAGAACTTGCCAAGATTCACTCTAAGTTCTAAGATTTCTAGCTCAGTTAATAGTTTTTAAAAGTTATGCCCCTGTTCTCAGTAAACAGTACTTTTTTTGGTGATTATTTGAGCATGTGTCCAAGGATTTAAGGATTTGTGGTGCATTTGTTTCAGTGAAACAATAAGTTCTATTGTTATTTCACATGGTAATGTGGGGTTAATTTAGCAAATTTCACTTATCATTAAAAATGGCAAAATTAAAACCCAGTGAATAATTAATGTATTCACAGTACTGGTACATTACAGCAAATATTGTCAGTTGCTTTTAGTTTAAGATTCAATACTATAATTTTCGTTTGAGAAAACAAACTTGAGGGAGTTTCACATATAACTGCAAATCAGCCTTCTTGCAGCTTTGTTTGTGAAATTCCATTTTAGAAGCTTGAAAATGTATGTTAATTTGAATAAGCTTAAATATGTTTATTTTTTTCGGCATGATTGGTTGATCCAGTCATATTGAGATATTGTGTATATAAATACTACTATTGGTGAGGTCATGTGATTGAAGTCAGCGAATCAGAATCTTTGATACATAATGTTTTCATGTAAAAAGCAGTATTATTTATTTCAAGCGCTGTAAATTGTAAATAGTGTCCATGCATTATTGCAGGAAAACTCTAAGACCATGTACTTAAGTCAATTGTGAATTCTTGAGAATGTTATCAAGTGTAATTGCGAAGTGGGGGTTATTTCCATTTTTTATCCCATTTTCAGTGTTAATTATAATAGTTGTAAGACAGGCATTTGTTACATTGCATGTGCTGTTTCTGGTATTTTAAACAGGACACATTTCTGTATCACCACTAGAGGGGGCTAAACCTAGATGAGTTGCTATTACTAGTATTCACATCATTTTACAAGGCTTTGTTTCCATATTCAGCTGTTTTAAGAACTGACACTCTGTCCCAATACTAATTTTCAAGTTTGCTGCCACATTTTCCAAATTCTGACTATTTTACACATTGTTTACAAAATATTTACTTAGCCAAAATAATATTAATGAAATTCACATAAATTAACCAAGACTTGTTGAAATTCATCTAAACCCTTATATGTGAACAAATATGAATACTGATTTATAAGTTATCGTGAAGCTTAGAAGTATGTCAGTGTTTTATTCTGCTATGTGTTCTCATTATTACTGAACAGTGTGGTCATTTTAGACTCAGAAAACAATCAAACTACCAGGGAGTCAGTTTACTTTCACCTCAAAGCTGAGTGGTCCATATTTCTATGGTAAAATTGACATCAGATCAATATATGGTGAAAATTGAATAGCTAATTATTTAAATATAGTAAGTTTCATACAAATACATAGCTGTAGATGTTATATAATGAAGTACTAGCTGTTTGATACTTTCAGAAAAAAGTTGTTGATAATGATATGTTTTACAATTATAATCACATGACTTAAGGGGCTCTATTGTTACATGAGTCGTTCTGACTTTTGAGTACCCCTAGCTTACTCTCAGTTGATTTCAAGCCTTAGAATTTAAGTTTGTGCTGTTGTTTTTTTTTGGTTTATTATATATTCCCTACCGTCCATTTCCTGGTCAGTAAAGACTTTCTACGTTGCTCGAGATTACCGGTATACTGTATTTGTTCTATTAGTAGCACTTTCCCAAATTACTGTAAAATACTTTATTTTCGCTTGAAATAAATTTTCGATATTTTTGCTGAAGGAATGATTCAATGAAAATAAAAAACAGTGAATATACCTTTTTTCCTATATTTTACATTCAACTTGTCAAAGATCAGTGAAAATAAATTCCATACAAAACACTAAAAAAGTCTTTTCAGCAAAAATTAATTCCAGCTAAAATAAAGTATTTTACAGTAAGTCATATTTTAATGAGTATACAGTAAATATAATTTCTGGTTCATATGTGCTTCTAATAGAGCAAATACGAGATATAGTTTCCCATATAACATTTTATAATGCAGGTTCACATCCAAATAAAGCATGTATGTAACATAATATAAATGAAAATGCAAAGTAAACTGAAATTATTAATAAAATGTACTTTGTTTTCTTTCATATTTCGTGTCCATCTGTGATGTACAGTATAATGTCTTATGTGACTATAGGTCCTGCATTATTTATTGGTTTGGTTTTAAGGATGGTTGACTGTTTGCTTATGTTTTTTCTGATAAACTCTAATACTGTAGAACTGGAAATTATTAGCACAGTTTTATTGTTGCGTAATTCATGGTAAAAACGATCAGCTCAAAAATAAAAATCTTAAGATCGTATCAAATTTGTGAAAAAATAGGGTGTTAAAATTAATACCCTTCAATAGCGAACAAACTGAATAATCGTTACGATTTTAAGTGTCATTTGATAAATGCTGTTAGATTAAAGTTACATGTGAACCAACAATGTCTACGGGAACACCTTTCACGGATCAGTTCATGGATTTCAAATGGCTGCGTTGTCAAACCATTATTAGTCTTGATTAAACCATCATCAGAGTCATTGTTAATTACATGTACTAATCGATAGTGATAATCTACGGGAACACCTTTCACGGATCAGTTCATGGATTTCAAATGGCTGCGTTGTCAAACCATTATTAGTCTTGATTAAACCATCATCAGAGTCATTGTTAATTACATGTACTAATCAATAGTGATAATCTACGATTGGACACATTGAAAGGTGTATCAGGCTGCAGCTAATCTCTGGTACGATGTTTGTATCTTTTAGACTAACCATACATGTGATAGTAACTCTGTTAAAGTCTAATTCAGAACAACATTCCGTAGCTTGTCTGCCAATAATAGTATTTTTTTTTATATTAAATAATAATATAGTTTAAATGAACAAAAATTCGCAAGTGCAACACTTGCAATTTTCACTTATTTATATTTCTGTTGTACTAGTTTATACAAATATAACAACATCAATTTCTGAGATTTTTCTATAAAGAGACGTGCAAATGACTTGGAAAGGTGTTTCCTGTAAAATGTGCTACTTTTGCATCTTCTGAAAATAAGTTTGTGTGAAATTTTCCAGTTGTACAGTATTTGAATTTTGAGTTTGTATGAGAAGGACTTTAAGTTGTCACAATCAGAAACTCCAGTTCTACATTTTTTGTTATGTGAAACCTATTATAACCCAGCTAACGCGTCATATTATATAAATGCTTACATTCATACATTTGTGCATGCTGAACATATCAAAATAATAGGTTAGCAGAGATATGCTACAATTATATTTATTTTATTTGTTAAATATTACTTATATAATGTTTTTAGTATACTGCAGTATTTATATTCTATTAAAACTAAGGTATTCAAGTTGTGTGATCTCCCAGAGTCATCTAATTATGGTTTAGGCAATCTCTAGGAAAGGTTGGGTGGGGGCTGTTACGCAATAGTATTCTATTCCATGTAGGAAGGTTTAATAAATGGCAGTTCTGACTTTGTGCTGCAAGTTTGAATCCCTAGTTTTTGTATATGTTGAGGGCGCTATACAATAAGTTATTTAAGTGAGGGATAAGCCTAGTTGTAATTGAGTGTGATGCATTGCATGCTGGTACTTGGGAATCTATGATCTATTAGTATCACCGCCTTGCCCCAATTTTCAATCAAGAATGACAAGGTGATAGATAGTCAAAGTATTTCTGTTTATTTTGTAATTTATTTGATGTTTTATAATGATGTACTTTATGAGCAGGGCTCAGAACTTGTTTTATTGGCAGGGGTGATTTACATAAATTGTATTTGTGAAGCTTTGCATGAAACCTGCACTAGATTCACTTCACATTGCATTTAAAGGCAGTTGTGTTGATAGTTTATAAAGAGATTTGATTTTTTTTGTTTCTCTTAAGATATGTAAAATCGAAAAAAAAGTAATAAAACTAATGTAATTACTATACAAATGTGTGTAAATCTTAATAGAAAGATTGTTTTGAGAGCTCCCTCTACATTAATTACTGATGAAATAGGGAGCTTGATAACTTTTCGTTTGTGTGGGAGGGGGTGAGGTCAAGACTGCATCAATAACCCAAACAACTTTTTATGACTGAACATAAAACATGCATACTATGGTGTCACCAGTCAACATGGATACTATGGAGTCATCAGTCAACATGCATACTATGGAGTCATCAGTCAACATGCATACTATGATGTCATCAGTCAACATACATACTATGATGTCATAAGTCAACATGCATACTATGGTGGCATAAGTCAACATGCATACTATGGTGTCATTAGTCAACATACATACTATGATGTCATCAATTAACATATATATTATGATGTCATCAGCCAACATACATACTATGATGTCATGAGTCAACATACATACTATGGTGTCATTAGTCAACATACATACTACGATGTCATCAGTCAACATGTATTACTATGGTGTCATCAATCAACATAATACTATGTCATCAGTCAACATGCATACTATGGTGTCATCAGTCAACCTACATACCATGGTGGTCATAAGTCAACATGCATACTATGGTGTCATCAGTCAACATCAACATGCATACTATGGTGTCATCAGTCAACATACATACTATGATGTCATCAGTCAACATACATACTATGTCATCAGTCAACATATATATTATGATGTCATCAGCCAACATACATACTATGGTGTCATCAGTCAACATACATACTATGATGTCATCAGTCAACATGCATACTATGATGCCATCAGTCAACGTACATACTATGGTGTCATCAGTCAACATACATATTATGATGTCACCAGTCAACATACATACTATGGTGTTATGAGTCAACATGCTACTACAATGTCATCAGTCAACATACTACAATGTCATCAGCCAACATACATACTATGGTGTCATCGGTCAACATGCATACTATGGCATCATCAGTCAACATACATACTATGGTGTCATAAGTCAACATGCATACTATGGTGGCATAAGTCAACATACATACTATGTCATCAGTCAACCTACATACCAT